TATTAATTTACATTTTATCCTTTAAATCATGATTACTCTTAGCAAATGAAAATTTTAAATGTTTCATTCATACCTTGTTTTGGTAGCTAATATTCTAGAGTCTTTTGAGTTGGTTTAAGAGGAATACTTTTTTGGGGGGGGGGCCGCGGCATGCGGGATCTTAGTCCCCGGCATGTGGGATCTTAGTTCCCTGACCAGGGATTGAACCTGCGCCTCCTGCAGTGCTAGCCCACTGGACCGCCAGAGAAGTCCCAGGAATGCTTTTATATTAATACTTTTTGAGCTTCTATAGTGTATTAAATGTTTTTGAATGTTTTACTTGGATACAAAGCTGGGAGCTTGTCTACAAAAGAGCAAAAACAGTTACTAACATTCTTTTAACTAGCATCCTCATTATGCTTCTTTCACCCACTATTGACCATTTGTTTCATGTTTTTAGTTTTGTCTAAATTTTAATCTTCACTACAATTGTTAGATCTTAGAACATAATGTTGTATTTCCTTAGTTTGCTTTTGCATATTGACTTTGATAGAGTTATAAAGATTTGCCACGCTAACAAATAAGCATCCTTCAATGCAGAGCTACTGTTTTATTTTATGATCCTTTTCTAAGTATAACATCTTTTTTAGATAAGCTCCTGATGGTTCTCTCTTGAAATTCAGTCTTTTTTTTCCTCCTTTTTGTAAGTTGGCTGGAAGTTCTGTGGTATTGCTTTCATAAATCGTTCACAAATTTTTCTTGCTTTCTCCTTTTATTTAGACGTTTACATTTACTAACAGATGGACTGAATTTATGTGTTCTATTTCTAGGTTTTGATTTTTAAAAATTAAAAATCAATGTAATTAAAAAATACATATTTGTATGTATATAAATTTATATATACAAATCAGGGCCCCAATCATATGTATATCAAGTTTTAAAGTTGTTCGCACCAGATTACGGTAAAAAAGTAACTTCCTCTCATTATCATATCTTCGAAATTCATGAAAATATGTTTAACTATGTATAACTGTTACAATATATGTCTGTCCTGTCTTTTTTGTGTTTATCTCATATTTCCATTAGATTTTCAGTTTCTTGTCTACTAATACTTTTGTTGTGTTAAAATAGATTTGATGAAGGTCACCTTCGAGAAAAGTAACTTTTATTTTTTCAATTTATTTTCTCCTGCCTTTCCATTTATAAATTTTTTAAAAAATTAAAATTGAGGTTTTTGACAGATATAGCTGTTCGGCTCTGCAATTTTTATTGTGGATAAATACAAAGCAGGTAACTTTTAAGACAAGATAATCTTTACCAGCTTTATTCGTACCTCCTTTAAGAACTAGTAGATCAGCAGCTGACATAGCTCTTAAGTTTGTTTTTTTTTTTTAACTTTTTCTCATGGAAATTTTCAAGAATACACAAATCAGGATGCTCTCCACAATGCATTTGATCAATATGTCTCTTAAGTTTCTTTTAATTTACATTAGTTTCCACTTTTTTCTTTAAACTCTATTCTATATATATATTGAAGAAACTGAGTTATTCTAAATTTGGCCAGCCGCATACTTTAAACATCATTTCACATGTTTGTCTGATAGGTAGATTTGGATCCACTTTTCTTGTTGCATTACATCAAACTACATACAATATCTGCTTGTCTTACTTTTAGTAAGATTGATAAGTCTGGGTATGCAGGCCTATCACAGAGGAGTGCATTTTAAAAAAACATAAATCAACAAAGCATTATTAAATATTTTATACCTTGGGGAAAAAACAGAAGTGAGTGCATATATTTACCGAAATATTCCTGCAGCAATGCTCATGGCAGCCCAAATGCCCATCAGCAGTAGATTGGTAAATAAATTGTATGTGTGTATTGTGGAATACTACATAGCAATAAAAGGGAACAAATTAAATGATAGATGCAGCACCGCTTATGTTTCTCACAGAAATAATGTTGAATGAAAAGCGTTGATGCAATAGAGAGCATACTATATGATTTCAGATATAAGAAGTTAAAAAATGGGCAAAATTAATTTCTCATTTAAACATATTGTAAGGCCAGTGAAACAATGCTACCTATTAAAAAGTGCTTCTTTCTCCCATTGATTGAAATAGCTCTGTAATCATATATGCAATTTCTATAGGCATTAGGGTATATTTATCTTGCTCCATTGGTCTATTTATATGCCTGTATCGCATAGAAGTTTTATATATGCTTGTATCATAGAAGTTTTATAACATGCTTTAATATCTTAGAGGGTTTGAACTTTTCTCCAATCATTGCTCTGCCATTTTAGGATTTTTCTAGCTATTCTTATTTATTCTTTCAAATTCACTTTATAATCAACTTGTCTTGCTTCAGGAAACAATAATCCTGGAGATGTTTTCATTAGGATTGCATTAAATTAACAGATTTTCTTAGAGGAAACTGCTACCTTAATGATGCAGAATCTTCCTTTCCAAGAACGTGGTTTGTCTTCCCTGTTGTTCACTTTGCTTCCTTCAGGCATGCTGTTTTATAGTTTTCCTTATATAAGTTTTATATTGTTTATTGTTAAATTTAAGTCTATTTTTATCTTTGCCATTGTTAATGGGGTTGTCTTTTCTATTTTTACTTCATTTTTTTCCATTTATTATTTCTCCTTACTGATTATTATTATATATATGAGGGCTTGATTTCTGTATGTAATTTTATGTCCTACCATTTTACTACATTTTCTTATTGTTTGGAATAATTTTTCCATTGATCCTTTTGGGTTTTACAGTTGAATTTATTATTTGCGAATTGAGGTTGAGATAGTCTCCCATCGCCCCAAGCCATGCACATCCCCAATTGTTATACCTCTAATTGCTTTCTCTTGTCTAATTGCATTAGCAAGTACCTATCTAATGTTATTTATTAGTTAAGCCCTTATTTTTCCTGACTTTAGTGAAAAAGTCTTTAGAGTTTTCACCATTAAGGTGCTGGCTTTTTTTTTTTTAACAGCTGTATACATGAGAGATACAGTTTACATACTGTAACATTTACCGATTACAGCTGTACAATTCCGTGTTTTTTTTAGTAAATTTATAGGGTTGTGCAGCCATCACTACAGTGTAGTTGTAAACATTTCTATCATTCTGAAAAGTTCCCTTGTGTCCTTTTACAGTGATTTTTGTGTTGGGAGTTATATGAGGATATATTTGTATGTATGTGTGTTTATATCCTATACCTTATAAATATTTATTTTTATAATTTAAGGAATTATTCATTTTTTAAAATTGAAGTATAGTGGATTTACACTATTAGTTTCAGGTGTACAGCATAGTGATTCAATGTTTTTATAGATTATATGCCATTTAAAGTTATAAAATAATGGTTATATTTCCCTGTGCTGAACAATATATCCTTGTAGCTTATTTTATACATAGTAGTTTGTACTTCTTAATCCCCTACCCTTGTCTTGCCCCTCTCTGTTTCTCTCTCCTCACTGGTAACGAACAGTTTGTTCTCTATATCTGTGAGTTTGTTTTGTTATGTTCATTTATTTTATTTTTTCAATTCCACATAAAAGTAATAACATACAGTGTTTGTCTGACTTCTTTCACTAAGCATAATACTTTCTAGGTCTGTCCATGTTGTTCCTTTTCTTTTATTCTTTAAAAGAAAAAATTTCATTCTTTTTTTATGGCTGAGTAGTATTTCATTGTGTATATATTAACACATCTTCTTTATCCATTCATCTGTTGATGGACACTTAGTTTACTTCTGTATCTTAGCTATTGTAAATAGTGCTGCTATGAACAGTGGGGTGCATGAATCTTTTTGAATTACTATTTTTCTTTTCTTTGGATATATACCCAGGAGTGGAATTGCTGGATCATATGTTACTCCTATTTTTATTTTTTAATTTTTTTTTTTTTTTTTGGCTGTGCTGCGAGGCATATGGGATCCTAGTTCCCTGACCAGGGATTGAACCCCGGCCCACGGCAGTGAAAGTGCCAAGTCCTAACCAGTGGACCACTAGGGAATTCCCTTTTTTTTGTTTTTTTGAGAAACTTCCATACTGTTTTCCACATTGGCTGCACCAATTTACATTCCCACCAGCAGTGTTCAAGGATTCCCTTTTTTCCACACCCTCTCCAACAATTGTTATTTGTGGGGTTTTTTGATGATAACCATTCTGACATGTGAGGTAATATCTCATTGTGGTTTTGACTTGCATTTCTCTGATGATTAACGATGTGGAGCATCTTTTCATGTGCCTGTTGGCCATCTGTATGTCTTCTTTGGAAAAATGACTCTTCAGGTCTTCCGCCCATGTTTTAATTGGTTGTTTTTTTTGATATTGAGTTGTATGAGCTGTTTATATATTTTGGATATTAACCCCTTATCAGTCATATCATTTGCAAATAGTTTCTCCCATTCAGTAGGTTGTCTTTGAATTTTGTTGATGGTTTCCTTTGCAGTGAAAAAACTTCAGTTTAATTAGGTCCCATTTGTTTATTTTTGCTTTTGTTTCCTTTGCCCTAGTAGACAGATCCAAGAAAATATTTCTACGGTTTATGTCAAAAAGTATTCTGTCTATGTTTTCTTCTAGGACTTTTTTGGTTTGCGGTCTTACATTTAGGTCTTTAATCCATTTGGAGTTTATTTTTGTAAATGGTGTGAGAAAAATGTTCTAATTTCATTCTTTAACATGTAGTTGTTCGGTTTTCCCAGCACTAGTTATTGAAGAGACAGTCTTTTGTCCACTGTATATTCTTATCTTCTTTGTCATAGACTAATTGACCATAGGTGCATGGGCATTAATTCTTAATTCATTGCTTGTTTTTAATACAAGTGAGTGTTTAAGTTTTCTTTCTGACATACATTTAGATTAGCAGGCTTAAGATGTAGTCTGTCTTGGCATTGTGAAAAAGAAGTCACCTTACAATAAAATGCTGCGCTATTACAATAAAAAGTTTTTTCTCAGTACAGGAAGATAGCCTTTCATGTTCTGAAACATTTTGTCCCATGTTTTTTGTTAAAGAGGATGGCATTCCCTGTGGATATGCTGGATAATTGCAGTCATGAGGAAATGGAAAATTCTGCTGAAGATTACATGTCAGATCTCAGGTGTGGGGACCCTGAAAATCCTGAATGTTTTTCTCTTCTCAATATTACGGTAAGGCATCCTGCAGTGATTTATCAATCTTTTCAGTTGAGTTTATACATGAAATCAGTATCCTTTTATTATCTTTTAAAGTGTTAACTAATCACTTTTGAAAATTTTATCGGAAGACTTTTCAGTAAAATGGATAAATATTGATTAGTTAGTACAGCAGCATGATCAAGTTTTAAAAAGACTAACTTTACAGGCAGTTGCTTATTATTTGTATTGTGCCTTTAAAATTATATGTAAGTAGTTTACTAGTTTTGCTAAGACTGATTACCATATTTGAGCTAACCCAATTAAGTCTACTTTAGATTTGGAAATTGTTGCTTTAGAAATTTTTTTAATAAAAAAAATCAGCAAAACACTACATTACACATTTTTGTGTCACAAATCTTCCTTTTCCCAAAATATTAAAATAAAATTTCTCATTAGTAAGCTGAGATATATTTTGATAGATCATTAGACATGAAATTATTAGAATTCTAGTGTGAATTTGATGATAGGCAAATTCTCTAACCTCTTTAGGCCTCAGGTTTTTCTTCTGGAAGATGATGTTTATTCAAAGAATTCTTTAAAGTTTCTTCCAACATCAATATTTTGTAATTCTCTGAGTGGCAATATTGTGTGTAAGTAGGGAATTAGCGTTGGATTAATGAAAGCAGAAAAAATTTAAAGTATTGCATATATCTCACTGGAAAAATGAATTTACCCTAGTAGTTTTTACTAGAAAGTGGAATTTTTTCCCCCTCAAGTGGTCTAAATAACAGATGATAAAGTTTAACAACTTTATGGATCATATCATGCTTTTGTTTTTATTCATATGCGTAGCTAGAGCGCAATAATATTTATTGAAATAGACTTTCATTTTTTCGCCTAAGTTAATAAAATTCCTGCAAAAGCTAAGTCTATCTGATTTGCTCTTTTTTTTTTAAGACTAGAAATATCTCCTATGAAATGAAATTATATAATTAGCGTTAACGTACGTTTGAAATTTTGAGAGAAGCATGGTGTTTTTGTGTGATGTTTTCTTACCAGCTCTTCACTAATCTTTAATAAATTGCCATTTCAGGTTCCTATTAGCCTGTCAAATGTAGGCTATGTACCTCTCTATGGTGGAGATCAGACCCAGAAAGTTCTTGCTCTTTTTGCACCCGAGGACTCACTCACAGGTCTCTGTTTTGTTTGATATTTGTAAATTGAGGAATTTTTTTTCAAACAATTAGAAATTTATTGAAAGATAGCTACATGAAGGAATTTTTAAAAAGAAAATTTATTTCAAACTGTAAATTTAGGAAAATAAAATTCTCAGTTGCTTATAATTAAATGTTTAGTGAGTGAAATACAATAAAAATGGTATAAATGGGGCTGCCACATTGTGTTGTAAACTATGGGTATATTTAAGGGTATTCTTGAAAACCTTACCAAATAGTAATATCGTGTACTTTAAGACTTAAATGTTAACAATCATTTATTTTCTTTTAGCTGTGGCACTTTACCTTGCTGATCAGTGGTGGGCTATTGATGATATTGTGAAAACATCTGTCCCTTCTAGAGAGGGACTTAAGCAGGTAACAAGATCCTGTAGTTTTAAAAGTGTTTAGGAGGCCATTTCACAATATGTTTGCCATAAACAGTGATAGTTTTTAAAGTTATTGAGCTTTTCTCCATTTTAGTATACCGGGTTATATTAAACCCTTAGAGTTCCATTGTTAACGGTGAAACTGGCACTTAGATTGGGCTTCCTTGATTTTATGTGAAAGTGTCTGAGAATTGGGGAGGAAAAATGAGTATCTGTGGTTTAGTTAAGCTGTAGTTACCCATATCAACTTTAGCTTCTGATTTTTCTTTTTGGGTGGGACAAAGCTTATTATCTCTGTGTGGTTGCTTAAGTTCTCTGTCTCTAGGAGAGACTGACCAGTAAACTTGCTTATCAGTAGGGCCAATTTGTGTGGTCTATTCAGTGTTCCAAACAGTGTAGTGGAAGGGAGGTCCTCAGCAGCATGCTGTAAAACTGGGTCCTTTATTCTGTCTTAGTCACCATTTTATCAGTTACTTAGAAGAAGACATAGTTGGCATACTTAGCAATTCTGCATGCCACAGTGCTGAATGGGAGAACTAATCCATAAAGGCAGAATTAAGAAACAAAGAGAAAGATCTAACATGATGAAAATAAATTAGTGAGAAAGGTAAAGTAGTATCTGTGGGTTCAAAAATTTAACTGTACTGTATACCATGAAGACCATACTAAAACAGCAGCACATGAAAAAGATTGGGCTTTAGTTAATTAGAAGTAAAATCAAGGAAAGCAAAAAAACTAATAAAAGCCTTAAGTTTATACAGAAAAGCCCCATTATCTTATCAATATCTTCGATGTTTATACCTGTAATATCTGCATGCCCAACATGAAGAGGAAAAAAAAAGGTTAGGGATCTGAAGCAATTTGAAGGGAGAAGACTGAAATGGCAAGAGTACCCCAAATCAGATTAGTCTTTTCCTCTGTTTAGCTTTGATAGAAAATTTAAGAGAATATCATGGCTGTCTTCAAATATTTGTAGACTATGTGATCCAGAATATCAAAGTATAGTCTTTGGGAAAGAGATTTCAGCTCAGTATCAGAAAGAATTTCATTCTGGTCAGAGCTGTTCAAGGAGGGCGTGGGATACCCTGTAAGCTGGAGAGCTTTGTCATTTCATGTGATGTTTGGTATTGGAAATTCCTTACCGGGGAGGTTTTTGAGAGTAGTGTGTGTATGCCTAATGCTTTTTCTCTCCTTTCGCCTAATTAGAGGACATTCTTGTTTTTCTTTAAGGAGACTTGGGGTGGGGTGGGGGGAATAGATTTCAGGGATAGACTCTTGTTTTTAGCAGTGACAGATGTCTATGGGGAAAACCCCACTGTTCAATGTCAGGCAATTGGTGAGGGTGTCCCTGTGACCGTGCAGACCTGCCTGTAGGAAGTGAGGTTGTTTCCATTCTGTGATTGCCCCAAGTTTTGTTTTCATCAGACTGCCCTGGTGCCCCTGTCCTTGCCCATCTGGTCTGGCAGAGGGTTATGTGTGTATGTGTGTAGGGGGAGACAGGTATTCCTTATAGTTAGACAACAAAGACATGCCTGTTAAATGACCATTTTACCTAGAAAAGAGGAGATTCCTTTCCCAAGAGCATAATTATGACTTTGCTCATCAAATGAGATAATCATTGTTTTTAAAGTCTTCAGGGCGTAACACTAAGCTTTTTTCACTTTCTTTTCCTTCTTTCCTTTTTTTTTTTTAACGTGTAGGCTGGAATGGGGTGAAAAGGAGCACTAGAAATGGTGGGGGGCAGCAGTTAGAGTCGGGGAGACCTGGGATCTGGGCAGCTGGAAGCAGAAAGAGAGTACTGACTGCTAACGTGGAGATGCTGGGGATTGGTATATTGGAAACCTGTTCTGCCTGTTTTAGAATTTTGCTGAGAGGCATTATTTCTTGCATAATTTGTGTCCATAGAAATGGATTGTTATTGCTATGAATGACTAGTCTCATCTTTGTGATAATAAAATGGTTTACAAATCATTCTGAATGTATTCAAAGTGCTTTGAATGTCAGTACAAGGTATGGAAGCAGGGAGCAAGGTAAACTGCATCTCTGAGTTGATGCTAACTGTTGTGCCTGGTGTCTCATCTCTTTGTAGGTGAGAACTCTTGGGGAGAGAGTGGTTCTGTATGTTCTGAATCGAATTATTTATAGAAAGCAGGAAATGGAGAGAAATGAGATCCCATTCCTGTGTCATAGCAGTACTGATTATGCTAAGATTCTGTGGAAGAAAGGAGAGGCCATTGGGTTTTATTCAGTTAAGCCTACAGGTGAGTCTTTAAAAGTTATTTAAAATATATATTATGTAAACCCACTTTTTGGACCCCAACTGTATCAATGTCCCTTTTAAATTAGTATCTAGAGTACGAATTGAGATGATTTTACTCAGTATTTCTTGGGAGTACTTTGATTCTATATAAGTGAGGATTGTTAGGAAAGTCTTTTGAAAAAAAAGTAAACATTTAACAGAGTGGAAAATTTCTCCACGTATGTGGACAGAGAGTTGTATGTTGAGCCTCAGATTTGTCTTCTTTCCCTCTCGTTTCCTTCCCTTTATTTAAAGGTCTTTGTTTTACTTTGATTCCTGCT